CTCGGACCTTTGGTCTCCATACCTTCTCTCTCCATCTCCACGAGCTCTGGAGATGAGGCAGGGCCAGGCAGCCTCTTCAAGGTCCTTTTTGTGCGTTCTTCCTGTTGCTACAACTGCCAAGGAAAGAGCTTCAGGCGTGTTTGGGAACAGGCACCCCAACCTCCTGCAGAGCTTCAAGGCGTCACCCACATCCCCACTTCCCCCGCAGCACCCTGGGGGCCAACCACACACACACAGGTCACATCCCAGCTCTGCTTTGGAACCCGCAGTAAGTTCCTGCGTCAGCCCGTGGGTGTGAGATGCCGTTTTGCTCCCAAAAGCACAACCATCCCAGTGCCAGAAAGGCAGCAGCAGAGCAGGTTAAGCCCGGGAGAGGCAGAAGTTTGTGTATTGGGGTAATACCACCTGCCTTCCTGAGCAAACCCAGGGGCTGCTCTCCTTTGTAATGAACAACTGCAGAGATAAGGCAGGTACATGGTCCAAAACAGCAGCTCTGAAAATGAGCTCCTTGACAGAGAGATTCCTCTTACTGCATGCTGTAAAACAGGGAGATTGCTTCAACCTGAGCCTCTAGTAAATGCAACAGCAAAAATAACTAGTCTGAATAGAGGCTTTTTCACTGCTTATTGTGTAATTTACCCTTCCTTCACTCTCAAAGCTCACAGGCACAGTCTCTGCAGACAGCTCGTTGCTCTGAGGGGCTGCCTGGCTGTGGCTGTGCTGCAGCAGGATGCAAAGCCCCAGCCTGGCCCTTTAATTCCCACATCATGCGAGAGCTCTCAGCATCCCCAGCCCTCCGCTGTAATGAAATGTGATTAAAGGCGGTGCCTTCCCCCTCTAAGCCTGACTGACTGCTCGCTCCTTCATCCCCTCCACACCAGCAGTCGCTCTAGGAGCAGCGAGGATTACCTCTGTTTCTCTGAAAAGGGAATTTTACCAAGAAATCCAGCGACAGGAGCTTAAACAGCACAATTGTTGGCTGTGTGAGCAGGCACAGCCATGTGATGTGCACACACCAGGTACCAGAGAGGAGCACACCAGCAGGACCCCGGCCAACAGATCCTATTTCCCCCTTCTGCCCAGCTCCAGCCCCTGTGCAGAGGAGAGCTGAGCAGAGTAGACGGGTGAGTAGGAGGGGGAGCTCTGCATTTGCAAGATGCAGGCAGTAGTGGCCTAGTTTCGGCGGTGCTCGGTAGCTGAATTGCCATCCAAGAGCTACGTCTGCAAGGCTCTGCACTCACCTCCAGAACATACAGCTCTTAAAACGATCCCCTGCCCTGGAGAACCAGGAATCTGGGTCTGAATCTATGATGTGAGACGGCGATGTTGTTTGGAAGCACACCCTCCACCCTCCGTGTGGCAGCAGGATCTCCGTGTGCTATTGCAAGCGCTGCTCCCGAGCATCTTCAGAGCAGCAATCTTTTCCTGCAGTGCTCGTCCCCATCCCAGGAGCCTAGCCCAAGGTTATTAAAGGAAGAAGCATTAGAATTTGGCCTCTCAGAGATTCCCAGCTGCAGGGAACAGGACTTCCTTCTTCAAGCCCTGGCAGGGCAGTTTTGGAGGCTGGTTATTGCTGAGAAAAAACGCTCAGACTAACACCAGTGTGTCTGCTGCTATTTAATGGCACTGCTGAGGATCCGGCTGAAAAGAGAGCATCAGACAAGATAATCTGCGAGCTCTGAACAGGTCAGACAGGGGCCAGAAGTTTATGTGCACAGTGATTTGATACTGATGATACAGCAAAACAAAAACAACATCGTTCAAACTATCTGCAGATCTGCTTTTGGGAGAAGCTGAAGAAATTGAGGCAAAGGCCTAGCCAGAGCTGCTTCCACCACAGAACATTACATCGGTACCAAAAAGGCACAGCCAACAGCCAGAGAAGCAGAAGCAGGTTTTTTTTTTATGAGTTCTCATTCGCTTGCATTACATCACACAGCATGCACAGAGTGCTCTGTGCATTTACCCAGCCCTACAGCCAGCCCATTAGAGGTTACCATTTGAGTCCTGATTTATGCTGCTACTGTCCATGCATTTATCTGACTCTGAGTGTTGATTATGCACTGTCTGCATGTCTCTGGAAACTCACAGAGGCTAAAAATTACACTTTGCGTGCTAGAGGAAAGAGAAACAGCCTGCTATGCTTTCATTTAGGATTCGGCATGGCACAGAGGGTATCAGAGAATCAACCTGTGGAGACAAAACCTGCAATCACTTTTCCAACACCCCAGAGATCACACCTGGCAGTGTAACTGAGAGGTGCATTCGCCATCTCTAGGACCCAGAACTACTGCAACTATGGACAGAAGTGCAATGAAAGGGAACACAATCCTGATAGACACGAGGCTTTGTGCCCTTGAAGCAATCATCACCTGTTAGTAAGCAGCAGTGCTTGTAAGAGCTGCTAGGAAGGTGTCTACGTGTGCCATAGGTTCATGGAAAAACACGGTGCTAATAATAGGTAACCCGAGAGAGCGAGCCCTGTGTAAGAGGCCTGAGGACAGGTAAGGCTGCCTGTGATAAAGCTGAGCACTGCAGAAACTGTCTCAGTGTAACCGTGATAGCCGGGCCTTGCATTCAGCAACATCCTCACCTGGTCTTCCATTTTTGACAGCACAGATCTGATTTTCTTCCTTTGTACACAAATGGGAACCAAGAACATCTTAACAGCATCCCCTCAGGGCAATCCATAAATCAAAATCAGGCTCAGAACTCCTCATTTCTAATTGCTCATGTCAATATTTCTTATGAGAAGAAGTTATCCGAGCAGGAGGCCGTCACCTGTTCATTCGTGGCCTCGTGCCCAGCACAGGCTGAGCACAGCTGCCCTTATCTCAAAGCAGACAGCAGAGGCTGGATGTGTCTGGCTGCCCTTCTGAGCTGGCTCTACCTGCCCGAAGGTTCGGTGTCAGAATATTGAGTAGTCAGGCTGTGACACTGAGCTGAGCCCTTTGCTGGCTGTGTCCACACACCTCCTCTGTGATGTGAGAAAAGTGTAACGCAGCAAGGCCTGACCCTCACAGCCAAAAGGTGTTCGGGTGCTGGAGACCCCCAAAGAGCTGAGTCAGGCAGGGGCTGCATTTTGCCAGCATGAAGCCAAGGAAGATCAGTTCGGAGACCTTTCATCTATTTTTTATTTAAATTTATGAAATTAAGCTCCCGTTAGCAGAAGCGCTGTAGAACCAGGCTCTATTTTATATTTGTAATTAGCCCTATCAACTTCAAAGAAGCTGTTTTTCTACAATATTTGCAGGGCTGGGATTTGTTTTTTGCATTTAATTGATACATCATTTAGCACTTGATATCAGTACTTCAAAGGGAACATTATTGCTTTACATTTCAAAATCACTTTGTAGTGCTTTCTGTGTATCGCATCGCTGGAATTGGAGAGAAAAACCAGCAAATCCTTACCAGCTCCAATCATCTGTGGCTTTATTTCCTGAATTAAATGTTTGTAGTGAACACAAGCCTACATTCCTCAAACTCTAGCTGATGTCAGTGCTGAAAAAGCAAAACCAGGCAGGAGTAATCCCTGCTATAAACAGCCCTTAAAATCATCAATTTTATTCTTAGCTTATTGCAGTGGAGTAAACAAGTCCAGCTACGGGGTTTTATAACTTGTGGCAGGCTCTTTTCTTAACGTAACTTGACATTTGCAAAAAACTAAACCCAAACTGACAGAGGGCTCTGCTGGTTTCCCATGAACCATCCCATTGTATAATTTAAGCCAGTATCTTCTGCCAAAATAGTGAAATAATGCCCAGGGCCCTCTGCTGGGTTATGAAGAACGTATCTCCTTCCCCAGAGAGCTGAGATGAATCACGGTCTTGGAAAAGTTCATAGCACGCCTCAGCATACAACCTTGGCCATCACCGTTGTGTTTTGCAAACAGAACTCCAGGTTTCACTCATGTCAGTGGTAACAAAGGGCATTTTACCACTCATAAACAACATTACAGGGAAGGTTTCCCAGAATAAAGCATCAAGAATTTTTCCTCATTGTGCTCAAACTGAAAAAAAAACCACCTCCCTGTTCACTGTAATTTCCTAATCTGAATTCTTATCAGCTCTTTACAGCCGAACATGGTAGAGAAATAGATAAGAAAACAAAAAGCTCTGTAAAAGCCAGGGAAAGATGCTGTAAGAGGAAATGAGCTCTTGCCCTTTGCACAGCTCGGGGAGAAGAAAAATTCAGCCAAATGAAACCAGCTGAATACTTTCTGAGCTTCAGATGTGGAAGTCTTATCAACCCTTTGTGAGGATCACCTTCTAGTGGTGGAAGGAGCACGTGGTCCCATCACCCTGTCACCTATCACAAGCAGCAGGAGCTTTTTCAGCTCCAGGACCTCAATGAATAGAGCAAACAGGAGACAGGATCAAAGCGGAGGGGTGGAAACAAGAAAACTGCGCTCCCAGGACAGCATTAGAAAGGCTGACTCCAGGTGGATGGGGGACTGTGATACTAACAGAAAGCGTTTCAGATCAGCACTGCAGCGTCTCTGTTAGCAGGAGAGGTTTCACAACACTTCTCAACAAAATTAACCTGGAAGACGATTGAGCCCTCTGTACCAGATGCACAATTCTTGTAAAATTTCCAAAGAGGCTTCTGAAAAAGGTGTGGGAGGGTTAACGGAGGACTTTGAGGCCCTCCAGACAGGAGTGAGAAATCCAGATGACACGAACACATAATACGTGACCATGCAATATAGACTTCAAAATGGAAATGGTGTGAGGAGACTGCTTGAGGTTTGCTTTGTGGGAATTGGAGTGACTCACTTGTGATTTTGTTGTTCTTCCTGACTTCTCAGAACTTTCTAAGCATCTTGTACCTGCAGCTGTTCCCTAGCTTAATTGACTTTGTGCTCGTTAATGCACATACATGTATTTCTTCTACATTTTTTTAAATAATATAAAATAAGTTCTGCAATAATTTTGATTTTGTATGAGAACTTCTGTGAAAGTTCAGTTTTTTATATAACTCTATCTCAAAATAGCGTTTTGGGCACTGGATTTGAATTTCTATCTTGCAGCTGAAACAGTTCAGCAGAATCAATAGCACATAATTCATGATTATGAAACTGCATTTTTTTGTGGGAAAGTATTGCTGACGGGGCTTTGTCCAGCTCTGGTATTCTCTGTATTGAAAGCTACATCAAGTGAGCTCATGAAAAAGGAATGTGAGAACTTTGTGGGTTTTACCTTAATTATTCATCCATAGGTGTTGGATAGAGCCCAGAATATCAATGGTTTTACAAATTCTGTTGTATATTAAGAATAAAGGGTATCAGCTTGACATTTGTTTTGCAGGTGGGCTTGGCCAGACACTAAATACCCCCACTGCATGTTTATTTAATCAAGGAATGCAAACGTCAAGGGGGAAGATTAAAAGATCTGAGGCAATGAAACAACATCCTACTGATATGCACAGGAACAACTCTTAAAATGTAAGGATTCAAAACTTTAGTTTCAATTAAAATCAGAAAACTCATTAGAAAATTCATTCAGAGAGCATATTTTCCCAAAGATGTACAATTTTGCTATGGATTGTTTTCCACTAAAGCAGGAAATACAATCAGTTAAGTTAAAATTTGTATATGCATCCCATGCTAAAGATTTATTCTGTCTCACTAAAATCCCACTGTGAAGCCATTACCTGCTGGTATATTAATGGCACTCTCTAGGACATGCATTGTGCCTGGTGACACAAAGATATGCTATAAAGGAGCCAGTTTTATTTTTCAAAGATGCACTGAAGTTAAGCACCAGTGACTGTTTTTGTAGGAAGTAAACATTTTGACCTGTTCCTCTGTCCTCCTGTATCTTCTGCGTGTTCCAGTCTCCATACCATCACTTTGTTCAGGAAAACAGTGTTCCAGCAGTGCTGCACTGAAAACCCACTGCTGTTTTTGTCATTTGGTCAGACCGTGAGTTTTCCACATGCCTGAGAAATAGGAGAGGGAATCACTGAGCCATTTCAACATCATATTTTACCCAAAGTGATACACAAGATTAGATGGCAACTTAATATTCAAAGGTCATTTTCAGAGATAAAAAGTAAGCTGTTTAAAGATAAATGTAAAACGTGATGCCAGTACTGCTTTGTGCTTATACCTAAGGTCTGATTTTTAAGTACTGACTTTCATGGTTAGTGCCATAGTTATGTGAACTTTGCTGAAGCCAGCTGGTCTCAGAATCTGACGTTTCCTGACATTTTGAACCATCTGGCTGGAAATGTCAGTCCTGAAGCTCCTCTTGAAACGTATACTTCCTTGCAGGCTTTTCTCCAGGACGCAGACCCTACTACTGCCAGCCACATGGAAGCCTGACACTACTTGCCCTCGAGGCGAGGTGTGCAGCTAGGAGTCCCCAGAGGAGAGCCATGACTTTCAGTCACTGTTTCTCCTCTTTCAGCGCTGGGTGAAGAGAATCCATCTTTCTGTGTACATCTCTTAGTCACTGTGCTCCAGGGTTTGAATAGTCAGGGCCCTGTTCCATGACTTCTGAGAAAGGCAGACTCGTTCATTACACCAGCCACTGCAGGATACATTAGGGCAGTACCCTGATTATGAATTCAGTCTCAATTTAGACAACCCAAGTAAGTCATCCATGAGCCCCTTTGAGTAAATATTGCACAGCCACTTCACTCACAAGAAGTTTTTCAGGAGAGTTCTCCCTCTGCCCTTCAAATGTTTATGTTCTCAAACCTATCTTCATCTTCATCTTATAATATATAACTGCTTAAAACACAAAAATGTAAGGAACTTAGTGGCTTGCCAGGTACAGTCCTTCTCTATTTTAGGCAACAGTATGACATAAACTATTCACTGCCATCTTTAAATAAGGTCAAGTGTTCTGTCCCTCTTCTTTCTACTGGAGAGCTGTTCCAAAACTTCACTCCTCTTGGTGCTAGACAAATTCTTCTAATTTCCAGCCTAAATTTATTTATGGCCAGCTTACAGCCATTTGTTCTCAAGCCAACAGTGTACTTTAGCTTAAGCAACTTTCCTCCCTCCCTGTTGTTTTCTTTGCTGAGATATTCATAGCTTCCCATAAGTCATTCCTTTTTTTTCAGCTTGCTGCAGATTTTAAACTTTGTGCAATTTGTTCTGCAATTATTAATTGTCCTCTGAAATTAGCTGCAGTGTTCTAGAAATGTGTTTACTACAGGTTTATCAAAAGAGACCTCATGACTTCATGCCCCTGCATATGCAGCTCAAACTGACCATCCCTAACTCCATTTCAATACACCACTGCCATTTCATTTTCATGTTATTCTTCACTTAGCCTCTGGTTTTCTATGTATGCACTAACATTTCTCCTTCCCGCTGAGAACAGGAATTTGAGGAGGAGGAGCACAGGGAGGTTCCCAGAGGTATCAGCTTACAAAAGAGCTCATTTTTTAAACTAATTTCCAGATTCCATTTCCTTGGTTGCTTTTTCTTCTTCCCTCCAGTTGGTGTTTGCATCCTGTCCCAGAGCTGCATCATTTACACGTTTTATAATGCTGCCTTTAAGTGCTCTTTTAGAGAATGGAAATTCATTCCTGAAGAATAGCTCCAAGTTCTTTTCAGCCTAGTTCAACTCACTCACTATTGTCCCTGCACACTACCAGTGCCCCTCCAGCAGCACATCACCACGGAGCAGAGCTGGAACTCCGGTCTCACATCTCAGATCACTGCCCACATTGCCCAGAGGTGTATGCAAAAACCTTTCAGGAATGTGTCAAGGCAAACAAATTCTACATCTCATGTAGCCAGGAGCTAATAAAAATCTCCCCATTTATTTGCAGGTGCTGAGCCTTAAGACGAGACGTGGGTAAACCAGCCAACACTCCTAGGAGTAAAAAAGGATTGAAAAGACCCCGGTCTGCCAGGAGCCATGCAACTGAGTCTAAAATAATCCCATGGTTTGGTTAGAAAGAAATCAAGACATATAAAGGGAAAGAGGAGAGGAAATAAAATAAGAATTATATAAAGAGCCTTTGGTCAAGCCAAAGGATTACTCATGATCCTGTCTCTGAGTGGGTCTGGTTGCAGATTATTAGGGAAAGTGCACACAAACAGGGAAACCAGGAGTGAAAATCACTTCCATTCCCAGGGACTGGAAATGCCCTGCCCTCCTTCCTCAATATATTCTTGCAGATTTCCTGCAATATGTGTTGAAAGATTTCCCAAGCCAGCTATTGAAATTGCATCTTGCTGCTTAACAACCTTTGATGGAGGTATATCCATAAATTTGTCTAATCGCATTTGTAATTTGTTTATGCTTTCAGCATTCGTGACATCCTGTAGTAATGACTTCCACAATTTAATTATAGGCCGTTGAAGAAATACTTCCTTTTATTTGTTCTGAACCTGCCTGGTGATTTCACGATGTGCTCCAGAGCTTGTACAGCAAGAAATGGTGGCTATTGTTCCCTGTTTACATCTTCATACAGCTTGTGATTTTATATACCCCTGTGATTTAGTCATTTGTTTACCAAGGTGACCACTTCATACAAGTTCTCATAAGGAAATTATCCCATACTGCTGGTTACGGTAAGTACTCTTCCCTTAGCATTTCTAGCTCTATTTATTTTCGTGATGGAGGGACTGTGAAGAATCCAAACTGCTTGCACGGTGCAGGGTGTGGGTACACTCAGAATCTACTGCTACAGTGTTTTTGTTTTGTTATGTCATCCCACCCACCACCCAGTGGTTTCTAACATTTTGTCTGCTTCTTTTATTGCTTCCAAACATGGCACTGGTCATTGAATTATCCAACATTGAATTATCCATAATGTCTCTGAGATCCTTTTTCTTGAGATGTGATAGCTGATTTAGAGCTCATCAGTGTGTATCTATAGCCATGGCTGCCTCTCCTCATGTGCAGCAGTCTGCAGTTACCACTACAGTTTCATCTAGTGTTTCATCAACCAGTTCCTCAAATTTTATGAGGTCCTTTTTGCACTCTTTGCAGTTGCTAGTCTTGTTCTGTGATGCAGGAAAAAAAAATAAAGGTTAGATGAAAAAAAGAAATATGAGAAAGAAAAATGATTTTTAGGATTCCGTTAAGCTGATGATGTAGGAAGTCCATTACTCAACTCCATCTTTTGATACATCAGTCTTAGAGTAACCTTGTACTACTGTGAATTATGCTAACAGATCTCATCATGACAAGATCCAAATACCTCAAAGAAGACTCGCTGATACCACATCTAGAATGCTTCTGTCATCATCTCTCTCAGACTGGGAGGATAGGGCTTGGCCCTTTTTCATCCATGCAGCCAGACCGATTAAGGTGTTATTTCATCCTGGAGAGCTGACTGCGCTGGTTCCAGCCCAGCAGGTTTTCAATTTCCATTGTGCATCAGAGACAAAGAGATGTGCTACTCACCATGGAAAAATGCAAGAGAAGAAAAGTAGGTGAAAATTCCTCACTGCATTTCATTACTGCTTTTGAGTGCAATTCATTTGCCCCAGATATTAGTCAAAATGTTCCAGTGCTACTTCTGTGACATTTTGGGAGTTCATATTTCCTACAGACCACTGGTGACTGACATTACAGTCTAACTGCTGGACGTGCTCAAGAGCTCTCTTGAACAGTTGTGTTTTTTTTTTGTTTCTCCCTAGCTCTTTGTAACTCGTGGTCTTGATCTCAGCGTAACCAGGCTTTGGGAAAAGGTAATTCATAAGGATTCTGCTGTGGTCAGACTAAAGTGATTCTACCACACCTACTCTAGTGGCTGGGTTTTCAAAGGTTTAATTCCCCGTGTGTAAGGAAAAAATAATAATAACAATAGCAGGCGAGAATATGACCATAAAACAGTTATGGCCACGTAACTCGCATCATTTTGTAGGGTTCAGTGGAGCTATAGGAGCACACACAAGCCGCAGATTAGAGCCAAAATTGCTTCCCTTGTAGCTTGATGAGCCTATAATGATACTGTCTCATGGACGATTTACTTTTGTTTCAATGGAGCTCGTTCAGGCCCTTGATACATAGAAGTGAAAGAAGAAAAGGACATATGCAGAAAAAGATGATGTTTTATAAAGTATTGATGCAAGTGGGGTATGTTCTATTATAAAAATTGGAAAATATTCACCACTAAACTGAGAAGCACATTTTCATTCCTTCAGAATTTGCATTTCTGTAGATTTCTTCTGCATTTCTGCAGATCCTCTACAGCAAGGATGAAAAACTTGATCCCCCTCCTGGAGAAAGGATTTACTTCACCATTCATAAGCGGTAAAAAATAAATATTGTAAACTTTAAAGAGCTTAATGGCTTTGGATATTATTGATAGATTACAAGGAATGAAAAAGTTAAAAAAATCAATTGAAATAGAAATAAAATAGAATAGAAATAGAAACTTCTTTTTAAAGATTGTCCATGAAAATATCACGAAGGTGTTTCATAGGTGCCGATTTCTATCCTAAATCAGACCCCAGTGAGATTCAGAGTACAGAAGAATTCAACAAGGGAACAACACTACCCCCCACCAACGTTGTCAGTAAACGACATGGATGTTACAAAAGTTTGTTCAACTTAAAATTTCAGTGACTGGATCTTCTTGTACCTTCCTCCATCAAACTCAAAAGCGTGTGCTACCATCTGTATTTTTCTGCAAATACCTACATACTGTTACTCAGCTCAGTCTTAAGCTTCCTTTTATCAGTGAGAGTCTGACAGCAGTGCATCACCAGCTTTAGTTTCCCGTCCATGGCTAAGTTTGTAGCTTCCTTTCCTGGAATGAAGCCATGTCAAATGAACACACCATTGCAGGAGCTGTTTTACCAGTGCTGCATACAAAAAAAAAAATTCCTTCTGTCTTATTCCCTGTGTCCACCTACTTGATAAATCCACGGATCATGTGGGTAGGTTAATTTTCACTCGAGATTTACAATGGCAGCTCAGGCTGAAGCGGTGTGCTGTGATGCCCTTGTATTCCTTTCCTGAGTCAGAGTGTTTCAAGATGGGGTTTCTCCTCCTGTAGCCGTAGACCATCCAGCAGCAGCTTCCATTTAGCTGTATTGAAGTGCTTATTGCTGGACTGTGACCATTTAATTAGGTGACTCAGATCATCGTGGAGGTATAACTTCATTATTTACTACTCAACAAATTTGCGCCATCTGCAGATTTAACTGGCTGAGACCTACGTTACCATTTGGATAGATTAGATAGTTTCATTAAACTGATTAATAATCATTAAAATGATTTCCCCCATTTTGAGATCTGCTTTTAAGCCAATTTCTAATCCATTTAATGTGTGCCCTGCAAATTCCATTTTATGCTACGCTGCTTGTTTTCATATATTTTATGTTTATGGTGATGTTCGCCTGTGAGTACCTAGTTGCTGTGGTTTAACCCTGGGAGGCAGGAAAGCACCACACGGCCTCTCGCTCACTTCCACCCCAGCAGGACAGGGGGAAAGAATCAGAAGGGCAAAAGACAGAAAACTCATGGGTTAAGATAAAGACAGATTAATGAGAAAGACAAGAGGAGAAGAGAAAAGGAGAAGCTGGCGGGGCAGTATGAGAAGCTGAACAGTCCCTGACTCTGTATAAGCACTGCTCTGCATGTTATTATCACTATTTTCATTACATAACCAAAACTGTAGTGCCATACAAGCTGCTAAGAAGAAAATTAATTCTGTCCCAACCAAACCAGCACACTACCTGGTTTCTGAACAATTCCCTGCTTTCTTTGATATTTTCAAGTTACGCCCCCTGTTGTTTGTCAGAAATTGCTGTAAAGTCCAGGACAATGACCATAACAAAAAGAAATTAAAAAAAAAATAAAAAGAGGCACATATCTATTACTGCATAGTGCTATTTTTTGTTTGCGTAAAGCAAGTGTGCCAGGATCATGAGTCACTAGGCAACTGCTAATTTATAGATCAATGCTGAGCTCATTTCTGTCTGTTAGCATAACATCCGGTCGAGCTGGCTGGAGAAGTTACTGCAATAATAAAACATCCTATAAATAATGCCTTACCTAGTGTTTCTAGAAGCACTAATGAAGTTTTATCAGCTTGATTTTGTTTTTGTCGTTGTTTGTTTGTTTTTAACCTCCCTGCAGGAGACTTTCAGCAGCTATTCCCAAGTCAAAGTCATCTGAGATAACTCAAATTTTTTCTTCCTACACGTTACTGACATAGACACACAAAGCAGCTTGCCCTGTACCACAGGGAAATTTCATACAGATGCCCAGTGCCCATCTGAGCTCACTCCTCAGATTTTGTGGCCTGTCTTAAAAAGCACTGAGAAAATACAGTAATTCAGATAATCTCAAAGCACAATGTAAAATGTAAAGCACAGACACACATATTCATTTTTATGCTCCTATTTAGTTCATTTACTTTAGAAAAGGTGGTGAACAATTGTCTATAAAATCATTTAAATGCAGCAGAGAGGGCAGGGCCCTGCAGCACTGGCATCCCTTCTGCTTCTTGCGCTCTGTGTCAAAGGGATGCAGCCAGAGCTGCAGGGAAATGGCCTTGTCCATGCAGAACTCAGGCAATCAGGAGTTATTCTTGATAAAATACTCATGCATATGCATTTAAAGCCACAATTCTGTCTGTCACTACTGACATACTTAATTCAACACACTTCTATCCCATTCCATCCTGCAGGTCAAACTGTAACTAGCCGGGGATACACACTGCCCAGGTAACACCTATTTTTGGCAGTGCCAAGAGTAAGCAAGTGCACTGCTTCCCGTCATATTTGACTGCATCACCAGTGCTGTGTCAAAGCCCAGAAGCCTTTCTCAGACTCATTTTAACAACGTTCTTCTTGACCCCAGGAGGAGTAAGGACTGTGCCTTATGAGGGAGAGACATCAACGTAGCTAGCTTCATGTTTCCAACTACTGGCAGTGCTTAACCTGCTAAGCTACCAACTTCTGATCACATGGGCACAATGAGAAGTCTATAATTTTTAAAACTTCAAAAAGCATAGACACATCTCACATCAAAATATTCAGACTACTAAAATTATATAAAAATTCCCTAATTTGTCTCATTTATCTTACCTGATAGTAAAAGCTAAAGTGTGTACAGTTTTATTAGCAACAAAGAACAGAGAGCCTAGCTTCTAAAATGCAATCTATTTTAAACATTTACATGAGGTCTATCATCACTGCTTCTTGGCACTTAATCTGATACTTGATCTAAATATGCATTGGTTGGCAGAAATGATACTGGAAGCACTTGAATTAATAAATGACACAGTGAAAGTCAGAAATATTCCAGTGATACAAATAGAAGCAGCCAAAAAGCTGCTCATAGCTTACAAACAACACTTTTTTTAGCAATGGAAATTGTTCTACAAACAAATGTACCAATCACTTTTAACAATCCCAGAGAAACCAAGTTGTCTACCACCCCATAAAAGTATCAGTAGAAGGCAAAGGCAGAAACATATGTCGGCGATACACAGTGATCAAGAAGAATCTAATGAACAACGGTTTCAAAAAGTTTCACTGACAGTCAGCAAAACAATTCCAAAAGTAAATGTACAGCAGCAAGGCACCATCAGCACTTAAATGTTTGCTTTGACTATGCTCTGAAATGATTTAAAATTATACTGAAAGGCTTTAGCAGAATTAGAGCAGAATGTGCCACAGCAGAAGGTGAAAGATAACACACTTGAAATGATTAATTCAGTCTGAGATAGGTCTGAAAATCCTTTATGTTAAAAGAAAAACCTAGTAACTGCTACCAGACGTTTTTTAAATATATGTGCAAATATACGTTTTAACATCTTTATAAAACAACATCAAATTATCTAGCAGTAACATTATCTAGCTCTTAATGAGCTGAGTTAACAATTAATATTGTAATACCGCCCTGCATATTTGCTGTAGTTGAAGAGATTAGGGATATTATATGCACACAGATTTTAGGTTGCCAAAGCAGGGCACCCTGAGATGATTCAGTCACCTAGAAATGAATAAAGGTGTTCCACAAAATGTCTATTTTTGTAATTATTCCCTTCTGGTAAGAGAGGAGTGTTTTCCAGTCAAACAGAAATCCCTACACCCAAATTAGATCATTTGGCATTCCTCATTGCCAATAATGAGTCATTCACTTACATGCTCAGAAACAAAAGCAGTTGCATTTTGCTACTGAGAGTACCAATGAATATCTGGATTTGGATGCAATGTCCAGTTTTACTGCTTCATCATTCAACTGCTTGCTCGAAAATACTAAGGAGATCACAAAATGGCATCAACAGGCCTAGCTGCCTAAGCTACATTACTGTGAGGGTTGCCCATAAGATTCTTTGTCAATAGGAAAGGAAAGAAAAGGAGTAATTTGCTAAACAAGACCAGCTTTGTTGCAAGATCCAGTATAACACAACACACTTCCCTTAAACAAAATTACATAAAAGCTTCTCTGCAGGAGGCTCAGAGTAGATGACTGTGTTGGTTTTATCCTTGAAACAGAAAGTGAGCACAATTTTCAGAGCACTAACATCCCCTTTTTAATTTAAAATCGTTCCATTATGTACTTGTTACAGTATGTTAATTTGTCAGATGATATTTGGACGCATAATTTTACCTCATTACAGACTTCTGCTAAGAGAAACCTACTAAATTGTTGTCTTTGGGTAAATGAATTGCAGCACCTATAGACAGGGAAGCCTGAGACCAGGCAGCAGCATCTTTTATAATGGAGAAACAGATGGAAACAGGCTGCCTTATGTGGAATTGGAGTGACATCTGGTGACATCGGAAAGCAGCGCAAGTAACAACTGATCAGCCTTTGAAAAACTACAGAAGCTGCTTGAGCCATTTCCACCCCTTCAATTAAAAATGTTAGGAAACATTAATGCAAAGATTTTAACAGAAACCCTTGAAATTTTCAATAAATCTAACCTCCTTATTCCCAAATCGGTCATCTCTGACGACATCTGAGTCAGCAGGAAGCCAATTTTCTGCTGGGAAATCCTACTGCTGGTAAATGTTCATCTAGCCTCACTGCATGGAGAAATAAAAAGATAACATTAAGGGAAAAAGGCTGGGTGAGCAGTTCTTTCAGTTTGACTGGTGTGTTTTATCTCATGCTCACATTTGTAGTTGATTTTAGTTAAGCCAGAGCTTCTGTGTTGCAAGTTGGCACAGCCAGTTTACATTCTCCTGAAGTTAAACCTCTGCACAGATACAAAATCCATCTGACCAAGAGTTGTTTGTGGGATAGAATAAAACTCTCTAAGCCGTTCTTTTCACATTTCACTTAAAGCACCTTAGCAGCTCTTCACCACTACTCACACTGAAGTCATTGCGGTGTAAATTAATTAAGCATCAGCACAGGGTCAGGTGGATGGAAAAGGGCTGGGGAGAGCCTCTATAGTGTTGTATCAGACCACTAGCCCCGTTTAACTGGGATTACTGGGATTACTGGTGCCGTACCCCAGCCCTAACTGGGATTACTGGTGCCGTGCCCCGCTCCCTCAGGTACCCAACATGGCCGCCGCCATGCCCACCGACATGGCCGCGCTCCCGGCGCCAGGGCTGCCATTCTCGCCTCCCATTGGCTGCCAGCCCCCCGGTGGGCGGGGCTATGCGGTCTCCTAGGCGACGCGTCCCGCCGGTGGCGCTCCGGGCTCTGGTGGTGCCCGGGCCCCGAGGAGGCCGCAGGGGGAATCGCGGCGGTGGCGGGCGGGAGCTCGGTGTGTGGGGGCTCTCTGTGGGCTCTGAGCTCCAGGGGTGGTGCTGGCAAAGCTGTGCCTTCCATAGGGGAGGTAGAGGAAAATTCTGTGCTTCCCCGGGCTCCCAGGCAGAGCCCAGAGGAGCTGGTGTGCACCCAACCTAATGGTGGTCTAACGTGACTTCCTCATACATTCTCCATTTTCAGCCCCAAAATACTCACTAGAGAGGCTGTCTGCCATCAAATGCTGTGGCAAAGGTTCCAAATCAGCAGAAATGTGGCATATTAAGGGTATGCTCTGTGCATCCTGTGCACACAGCCATTTAAGGGATTCAAAAAGCTGCTGTGTCAATTGTATTTTTACCTGCTGTTTGATGATGCTAAAGATTAATCATAGCAGCTTTCTAACTAACAATTTATAGCAAAGGTTTTATTGTCTCAATTCTGATATCCGCAATGTTTGTGCAAAAGGGCTTTTACTGACGGTTTTGTGTGGTGAGTTATGAGCTCTGGCTGGCACGTTCTTATCTTTATGATTTGTGCAAATATAACTTAATGAACCTATTGCACGAGTAAATGGGTGTGCTTCCTCATCCTTCTTTATGGATGTGATCATAATAACTTGTGCTACAGTGCTTTATGGAACTTTAGAATCTAAAAATGTGAAGCAAAAAAGTAGTAAATCAAAATATCTCTAGCAGTTTCAGCTTTCTTCTGTCATAATCTCCACTGTGAGTCCATTAGAAATACAGATTCTGTAATTAAATACAGGAATTTAGATTTTTACAAACTTCTTGGAAATCCTGTGACTCTGTATGGGTGGCTACACAGCTAATAATATTAATGTCTTCTTAGAAAAAAAAAGTTACTAAGAAATAATAGTCACAGCAGAGAACTCAAGAAATGGCACAAAGTGATAACCAAACCCAGAACCTTGAGGAGATGATTATGAAGTTGGTAAGATATTCAATTTTTATTTATTTTTTTTTCATTTCTACTTCTGTAAATATCAGTGTTCTTGCTAGAATATAGAGCTATTTTTGCTTTTCTAGAGGTACCATTTGTAGCGTAGCCTCCATTCTGGAATACCCCAGAGGTGGTATAGGGCATGCATTAATAAGAGTCTGTGGTGAACTGAATGAACTGTAGCAAACATATTAATACTTGAGGTTCTTTGTCTTAAGAGAATATCTTTAAATAAATTACTTTTAATGTATAGCTCCCTGCTTTGTCTGTTTCTCATGAAGTACCTTGCAGAAATATATATACAGAAACAAAAACAATCTTGTTATATACATTTGGCCAAAATAAATCTTTTAGTTTTGACTCAGTCACATCTTTTTGTAGATATCAGATAATTGTGAACAGAATCAGATGATACTTGAAGTTTCCAATATCTTTGTTTACTATGAAGTGGTTAGAATTTTAAAATGGGGTCCCACTCCACATTCATTTAGGTGTTTACGTGTTTTCATATGCTTATTACAGGCAGTGGAACTAAAGGATAGGATTCAGCTGCATAGATATTGCTGTTTAGTGCTGTTTTACTGACTTTATGTGTCCAGAATATCAGCTGCAGGATACTTTTAAGGCCTCTGAATTAGCACTAGATAGTCTACGTGGCCAACTGTATGCCATCCTTAGTATATATTGTCCAGGAAACTAACAGAATAAGTCAATTTAGTGTAAATATCTCCTGTATGATCATCAGAATGGATTTCTGGGATCTTTTGGCTTTGCCTATATTGATTGAATCCCTTGACTAACATTGAGAGCTTGGACAAGAGGCATGCGTGTAGGTGCCTACTGTTTTGTAGGTGCCTACTGTTTTTTTTCTCATCCTGAATGAAATTCCATGTAAACTTTTATTTTTATCGTGGCCAAAAACTTGCATTGCATTTACTTGATACAACCACTTTAGAAGTGGAAAACTACAAGACTGATAAAACCCACCAGCTAATTGCATACACACATATGCATGAACACATGCATGTTCTAGTTTATAGATGAAGTTATGGATTCCTGGGTTTTAATCTAAATTAAAATTAGATACTTGAAAACTGTTGTTTTAAATTTAAGGTACGTTTTGAGGTTTGATAAGAAGATTTTGTGTAATACTTTGTGAGCAGAAGTATATGTTTCTTAACTGTTACATACTTAATGTGGTTAAAATTGCAAAAACATTTTAATGCAAAGAGAGTTTTAAAAGACACAGCTGCTGTTAAGCAGTACTGTAATGTCAGTAAGACATTGTGTTTCATAATGTATTTTTTTTACAGCATGAACATAAAGAGAATAATGGCTTTGTTTCATTTCCAGTGCATATGTAATGGATTGCCTTATGAGAAAATTGATCAAGAGGGACTGAAAACAACTGCATTGGAGATGTTTTTCTCAGGTTATTCCAGAATTGTAGGCATGGAGTATTTCCCCAATCTAACTACTCTCACTCTCATTGGGCAAAGTATTCAAAACATTACAGATCTAGAGCACTGCTTATTGCTCAAAGAGCTATGGATTGCTGAATGTTGTTTAGTGGTAAGTGAAGTATGAATTTTCTTTCTAGACAGCTTTAGCCAATTTCCAGTCCTTTGCAAAGACAGTCTGATTCTTTTGAAAGCACTCCTTTTATTTGTTCAAGGGAGAAGGCACCTTTTGAAGGAGTCTAGATTTGACTTTTAAGTATATAAAATCCCTTTTTTGATATGTATCAAATTAACTTTTTTTTAATTTATTTTAGAACCTGCTGTTGGATTTTTTTTCTCTTTCATTAGAATTATTTTTTTAATAACTAGAATAGTTATATTGAAACCTTTTCCAGGACACTAGTTAGAATGAAGAAATTTTAATGAAAATAACACTGTATTTAAAGAAAGCACATATTTTCAGGAACTATTGCAGCTGCTGCTACTTTTTATTTGTTGGCTTAATTGAAAAGCTTTCTAAATCATCAAGATTCTTCTGAGGGTATGATCTTAAATTGTTTGGAACTACTTAAGTTTCTGTGCAAGTTGATAGCATATTGACAAAAAGAGTGACTTCTTTTGTTCAGTACTGCAAATACATCTTCTTCTATTGCAGAAAATAGATGGTCTACAAAAATGTGTACATTTAGAAAAGCTTTACCTTTATTGCAATGAAATTTCCAGGATTGAAAATCTGGAATCTTTAACAAAGCTTAATGTACTCTGGTTGAATAATAATATGATCAAGAACATAGAGGTGAGTCTGGTGTCCTTGTTATGTTTTCTTGTCTTCTATTTTATCTAGTATATTGTATATTCATTATGTGAAATCAAAATGTGTTAATAAGTAAGGCTAAGTTTTAGAATAATTGAAAAACAGAAAGAGCAATGTTAAACTTAAAGTTTCAGCCTCAACTCATATGTGCTTATTTGGAATAGGTTGACTGTCAAGGCTTTCTTCATATGCAGAGTTATCTAAATCAACCATTTTCAGACCTCTGTGACTTCTGATGAGGAAAGAATTTTATTATATTTTTTAGCTTTTTTTTTTTTTGTAACTGCAGCCTTTTCCTGTATTACATTAAGTATTACATAAAAGGTTTTCCATTTAACTCTAATATTAGTGCTTGCCATTTTTGTTTGGAGGGATGAGCTCCTATTAAGGAGAACTTTTATCCTGTGTTTTCCTCAGGCTGTTATATATGGTTTGCTCCAAAGGAAACTGGTTTCCCCTATGTCCCCTCAAAATAAAATTCTAACCTTTGGGTTGGAGGTTATTCCAGGACCAGCAAGAGTTCTGAGATTACCAGCTTACCAAATAAAGGGAGAAGAAACATATAGATGGCCTTTTCTAGCAAAAGACCACATAGCATTCTGATTTACCAGACTCCCATCAGGGGACAGAATGCTGCAGCCCAGTCCACTTTAACTTGAGAGAGTGCAAGAAAACAAAGCAGAAGGAGATACTGATATCAATATAAAAGTAGTTAGAGCAGAAGAGATGGTGATAAGGATCAGATTATTGTGACTCTCCAAAGACAGAAAGGGGAGGGAAGAGAAATCAAAGTTGAGCATGCTGATGTGGAGAGGAAGGAGATACTGATATATTACACCTGACAGAGAAAAAATATAAAAGCAGTAGAATGTTACAAGGTAGAAGTTGTTATTTATTAGTGGGGACACTGCAAACAGTAGTGGCATCCCTCTGCAAAGAACTGCAGTGTCATCATGGGGAGAAATGATTGACATCAGTGATACAGTTCTTATGATATATATCCCTAGGCCAAGACATGGGCTGCAGCCAAAAGCTAATGAGTACTTATGACATAGGGCATGATCTGTTATATCTCTCATACACAGCTGTGAAACTAAGGCTGGGGGACTAATTTTATTTCCATTGCAGTATCATTTACAAAGGCTTTCCAAGCTCATTCCCTTTGGGCAAAAGGCTTTCTCTCTTTGCATGTCAAAATAAAGCTATAGTTTACAACAGAGGCAAACATTGTTTAGACTCCAGTCAAATTTATTTTTACATTTGAATGATCTGCCTCATAGCCTACAGGCTTTTCAGCATTGGCAGTGCTATATTAGATTAAAACTGTATTGTTTAAAACATTCACAGGGCTTACATACTCTGCAGAATTTGCAAGAGGTCAACCTTGCTGGAAACTTAATAGAAAAAATAGGTAAGTGATGTCAGTCTGGCATTTCTAGCATGAGCATTCTGGTTACTACTGAGGATTTATGTCTTTAGTTTAATCCTTAACTCATTCTAATAGAAAAATTCTTACCAACTTACATGGTTCAGAGCCATATCCAGTATACACAGTCCTGATCATCCCAAAGTCTGTGTCAGAACTCCCTA